AAATAAGGTTTAATTTTTCTTTCTTATCAAATTAAAAATCTACCCTCATAGATACTCATAGACAGCTGGTAAATGGTATTCTAGAAAAAACTTTTAGTGATATCGCAGTCGCCGGCGCTCGGTCCAAAGCGACAATCGACGCCTAAATGTTTCGATAGAAACCTAAGACTAGATAACACTGAATAATTTTTTTGGAATATCAGTAATCTCTGCTCTCTGTGTAGCATCTTTCATTTCCGAGAAAAATAAAATCCTCTAAAAATTTTAGCAATTTTAAAAAGTTATGGAGTCTTTTAAGCATGTAAATTTCTTTTCTTGATTGGTAAGTTCCCCTTTTTTTATCTTATATCTTTGATTTATCTTTTCTGGTGGCATTGGTAGTACTTTAATAACGCTTTACCGATGGATGTAATATATGGGAGTTAAACATTTTGTGTTTTATTATGGTTGATTATCGGAAATTATTATGTTGAGGTGCTTGGTGGTTTTATTACATTCGTTTTAGAGCTACTGCATACCTGCAATTAAATAAAATAAGGTTTAATTTTTCTTTCTTATCGAATTAAAAATCTACCCTCATAGATACTCAGACAGCTGGTAAATGATATTCTAGAAAAAACTTTTAGTGATAACGCAGTCGCCGGCGCTCGGTCCAAAGCGACAATCGACGCCTAAATGTTTCGATAGAAACCTAAGACTAGATAACACTGAATAATTTTTTTGGAATATCAGTTATCTCGGCTCTCTGTGTAGCATCTTTCATTTCTCAGAAAAATAAAATCCTCTAAAAATTTTAGCCATTTTAAAAAGTTATGGAGTCTTTTAAATATGTAAATTTCTTTTTTTTATTGGTAAGTTATCCTTTTTTTATCTTATATCTTTTATTTATCTTTTCTGGTGGCATTGGTAGTACTTTAATAACTCTTTACCGATGGATGTAATATATGGGAGTTAAACATTTTGTGTTTTATTATGGTTGATTATCGGAAATTATTATGTTGAGGTGCTTGGTGGTTTTATTACATTCGTTTTAGAGCTACTGCATACCTGCAATGAAATAAAATAAGGTTTAATTTTTCATTCTTATCAAATTAAAAATCTACCCTCATAGATACTCATAGACAGCTGGTAAATGGTATTCTAGAAAAAACTTTTAGTGATAACAAAGTCGCAGGCGTTCGGTCCACAGCGACATTCGACGCCTAAATGTTTCGGTAGAAACCTAAGACTAGATAACACTAATACTTTCTTCTTGAATATCAGTTATCTCGGCTCTCTGTGTAGCATCTTTCTATTCCGATGAAAATAAAATCCTCTAAATATTTAAGCAATTTTAAAAAGTTATGGAGTCTTTTAAGTCTGCAAATTTCTTTATATACATGAAGTTAAATAAAACAAGGTTTAATTTTACTTCTTTATCAAATTAAAAATCTACCCTTCTAGAAAACACTTTTAGTGATAACGCAGTCGCCGGCGCTCGGTCCATAGCGACATTCGACGCCTAAATGTTTCGATAGAAACCTAAGACTAGATAACACTGAATATTTTTTTTGGAATATCAGTTATCTCGGCTCTCTGTGTAGCATCTGTCAATTCCGAGGAAAATAAAATCCTCTAAAAATTTTAGCAAATTTTAAAAGGTATGGAGTCGTTTAAGTATTTAAATTTCTTTTCTTGATTGGTAATTTCTCCTTCTTTTATCTTATATCTTTGATTTATATTTTCTGGTGACATTGGTAGTATATTAATCACGCTGTCCTGATGGATGTAATATATGGGGGTTAAAAATTTTGTGTTTTATTATGCTTGATTATCGAAAAATATTATGTTGAGGTGGTTGGTGGTTTTATTACATTGGTTTTAGAGCTACTGTATACCTGCAATTAAATAAAACAAGGTTCAATTTTTCTTATTTATCAAATTAAAAATCTACCCTCATAGATACTCATAGACAGCTGGTAAATGGTATTCTAGAAAAAACTTTTAGTGATAACTCAGTCGCCGGCGCTCGGTCCACAGCGACATTCAACGCCTAAATGTTTCGGTAGAAACCCAAGACTAGATAACACATAATCTTTCTTTTAGCAATTTCAGAAAGTCGTGGAGTATTCTAAATATGTGAATTTCTTTTGTTGTTTATAAATTTCTCTGTTATGCTTTTACCCTATATTTTTGATATATCTTTTCTGGTGACATTTGAACTAGATCTTTTACGTCGTAGTTTGTTATAATGTTAACACGGTTGTCTGTTGATAAAGGTTGGGATTTGGATGTTTTAGTAGATAAATAATATCTTTTAAGTAATTGGAATTACTTTGTTTTACTTAATAGATTAAACACATATTGACAGGTTTATAATCCTTTGTTGATTTTTCACTTGATTTTCTCAAAACATAATTATTGAATTTTTCTTAAAAATATAATTTTTGGCTTAATAGTTGCATCTAGGTAAGCCAAGTTTTTTAACTCCGCCTACATAATCATTAAATAGATTTACTATTTCAATGATCTTGTTGCCGGTCCCAAGCCCGGATAAAGGAGGATGGTTCTTGGCTCAGATAAGAACTTAAGCCAAGGTAAAAAAACCTTGTCTTTAAAAAACATATTCTGTTTTCTGTGCAGACTATTTATGACTTATATTAAAGATGTGCCAGTGAGCTATCAACGATGCTGCTAAAACATTTTATCGTGAAGCAGTTGCTCGAACAGTTTGACGAAGATTTTAGTGACTTAAAAAGGTCAAAAACGATCTAATCAAGAATAGAGATGACCCAACGTAAAAATAAACAGAGAAACGTCTCATAAAATCGATGACACTTCTAATAAAACTGATGAGAATTTAGACGGCCCAATATGAAAATGATCAAAGTAACTTCATGGGTTCTATAAACTTTATTGTTAAGGAGTGATATATTAAATGATATGTTTAAATGTGCTGTTGAGATGAAATTTAAATATGATAAAATGTTTTTGTAATGTAATGTTCATGTAGTACTTAACTTACAACTTAAGCATGGAAGGCTCTCTATGTTAAAAAACAACATTTGGTACCTGCTAAATATAAAAGATTTTTTAAGTTATAAGTTCATGAACATAAAATACTGGTTCGGTGTGAAGAATTTTCGTGTTGACAAGTATGCAAGACAAACAGAAAATGGATGGCTAAAAGGTGGTTTTGTATTGTATTGTTCATACATTGCTCAAGTTATAACTTAAGAAAAAGGCACTATATGTTAAAGGGAACATTTGGTACCTGACAAATATAAAAACGATGAGTTATACATTTTGAGCTTAAGGTAGGTGGATGAAGTTAATAGGCTTATGGTGTGTATTGTAAAGATATGTAAAAACTGCAAGAGTAGTTGGGTTGTAGGTGGCTCTGTTAAATTTAACTAAAGATATGTGATGTTTTAATATTGTTGTAAAAAGAGATAAGACGCTACAAGAGGCTGCAGTCTCCAGAGATATGAAACCAAACCCTGGAGGAAAGTGGATGAGTGAAATAAGGTGTAGTAAAAACAGTATAAAAAGGTGATGATATGTGGATAAGTAGGTAAAGATGTATGCTAATGAATGATTTAGAGGAGAAGTGGAATAATCTGCTCTGAATTTAGTTTTTCGAAAAGGAGCATGGAGAATATTAGGTATGGGGTCAGACTTGACGCTTAGATTCCTAGGAAGAAGTAGGGAAAGATGGGGTGTTGAATATATTGAAAAAAGTTTGAGGGACTAAGGAGGATTTAATATGTGACAAGAAAAGAACGAAAAATCTAAATACTAATGAGAAATCAAAGTGAGAATGTGGTTATGAGAATAGTTGACGATGGAGCGAAAGGAAGTCTCGATTGAATGATACATGGCGATTAACACAATTTGGACTTCTCTGTTTTTCTTTAATAATTTCTAGGTCTTCATAGAAGTCTAGTTTGAGAAAGTTTTTTTGGGGGATATTATGAATAAGTGAAACGTCTTCTGAGATATTGAGGGTGTGGTTATGTTCTTTAAGATGTTGAGAGAAAGTGGAATATTTTCTCTTTTTGTGTGCTCTAAAGAGCGTGAAGACAATGATCTACATGTTCTTCCTATGTAGATAGCATCGGAATTTGAACATTTTAGTCTATAAGTATCACTACCGATCATATAATTGATGGGGTCTTTGGAATTAGATATATCCTGACCCAAGTTTTTGGGTACTTTAAAAGAAACATGGATAGTTTTAACCGAATGTTTGATGAGATTTCGAATATCTCCAGAAAGACCCTTATGATGGTATGGAAGTAAAACATAATTGTATTTGGTGGTAGGGTCTCTGGGGAAAGCAATCTTCTGCAGGTTCCTAAGTCGTCTTCTATGGATCTCTTCCTGGAGTTTATTGATAATGTTGTGATCATAACCATTATTGACTGCTATTTGTCTAATAATGTTGAGTTCTTTTTTGTAGTTTAAATGAAAAAGTGGAATAGTTTCCAGGCGATGGAAGTAACTATGAAAAGCTGCATATTTATGAGACATGGGGTGGTTAGATAAGAAGGGTATTACATTAGTTAAGTTTGGTATTGTTTTAGTTTTCTAAGATGAGATTGTCAGATTAAATTCTTTTACTTTTATGTTAAATCTGTGGACCAGTCTTTGCAGACTATATTCATCTTGGGCGATCAATATTGCGTCGTTTGTGTACTAAAGTATTTTTATTTCTTTGTTTCCCATTCTGCATGCTCTTCCTTTGTTAACGTTTTTGAATATTTCATTCATGATCAAATTAAAGAGCATGGGGATCAATGAATCTCCTTGTCTTATTCGGCTGCCTATTTCTTCATAATTATGTAGTTATGTAATATTTCCAACGCAAACAAATCATAGAACTCATTAACACAGTTAAGTTGTGCATGGAAATACATATATTTCATATATTTATTAAAACCTAATGATTTATCAATGAAAGTAGATTGTGTTTCCTGTTTAGTAAGTCTAGTAATTTAAGAAAATGACATAGTATCTTTTTAAAGAAATTTTATTATGAAATACTAAAAATTTTGACAATTTTTTGTTTAAAAATGACTAAACACATTATTGTTACATTTCCACTAGTATACATCTAATATTGCTACCTATCTAAATAGGTATTTAATATAAGTTAAATCTATATACAAAGTTCACTTCAAACTGGTTTCTACACATATGTCGACTATCACCTATCATTTCTAGTTCTTCTAATTAGGAAGAATATTACGAAATGTCTAGATATACATACATACATACAGCATTCATACAGGATGTTTCCCCTTGAATTCGAATTTTCCTATATCTATCAGCTTTTTACATTTTTTAAGTACTGACCTACAATAATATTTTACAACATAATTTGTAATCGTCAGTGTCTAAAAAACCTAATATAAAACTATTTCCATATTAAATTTTATAGAAAATACTTTTTATATCGATTTACCACCCTATATACACATTTGTGATGATAATTATAATCAATCACTTTAAATATTATATGCGTTACGCTGTTGTATCCGTTTTTTCCACAAAGGTCCTGTTTCTCAAGGTAATTGATTCTTCAGAGGTGTAACCGTTGCCCATTTTTTTGACTCCATTGAGTCCATTCATTTTATTAAGTCCGTTAATTCCATTGGCTTTGTTAACACCGTTAACTCCATTAACTCCGTTGCTGTGCTCATAAAGAGCAGTTTGGCTGGTGAAACAAATACCAATATTATGCTTGCCATTTTTCTCAACACCATTTCGGACTACTCCATTTTGTTTCCTTGCCAATGCCTGAAACAAATTGTTTTCTTATTAGTTTATTTTAACTTAAGCTTACAGAATAACGGAAATATAAAAAAAAACAAAAACCGGAGGGTACATTTTTCTTTACATGTAGGTATGTGTGTGATTGATAGGATGAATCTATCCTAATGTAACGTTTTGTAAACACATTAAAATCAACACGTTTAATTATTAAAATAAGTTATGGCAAAAAGCAGTAAACATTCTAAACTCTATACTATGGTCAAAAGATATTAGACAAGAAACGAAATTGACAATCTATCGAACCTTGGTAGAGCCTATTATGACTTACGAGGCAGAAGTTTGGCAGATCACGAACAAAGATAGAAAAATAATAGAAATAGAAATGGATTATCTAAGGAGAGCGTGTAGTGTATCCAAAAAAGATTATATCAGGAATTAAGATATTAGAAGGAGGGCAAATACTGTATATCCAGTGCAACTCCAGTGTCGACAGAATTGAAACGAGACAACTAGTGTGGTATGGTTACGTGAAGCGAATGAATGAAGATACAACAAAGAAGAAGAAGGGGAAGGCATTCAGTTCAAAGAAGACGAATGGATGGACAAAAAACTATGGCGGTCGAAATGCGAGAAGCGGTAGAGGCTGTAGGAACCTCACTAATATATAATATTAAGTATAACCAAAATCGGATCTTATTTCAATTAAAATATTATTATTACCAAAAAATAAATACCAAAAATATTTCAATTATTATTACATTTTTCTTAATAAACTTCAAATATACCCAACCAGAAACTCAATGGTGGACAACAATATCTATTCTCTAAAAGGCTAAGAATAAATTATACTCTTCAAAAAGGCTAAGAATAATTCGGAAAAGGGACATAATAATGTAGTTGTTTACTGGTTAAATCAAATAGAAACTGAAATGTAAACTAAATAGTTGTGAGCAATTACGAAAAAAAAAATAAGTACACAAAATAAGTAATTAAAAAAAATATGTAAAAAAATATATAATTAAAAATTAATTGAAAAAGCTTTTGCAAAAAATTTGCTAGTTATTCTATTGGTGGTGTCTATTGCAGACAGAAATTTATGGAGAAACCAGGTAATCAACAGGGTATGATCTATATACAGATGGATTCAAAACTACAGAGCGTGTCGGGGCAGGAATATACTTTAATAATCAATAATAAGTGAAAGCCTGGCCTTGGGGAGGAACTGCACCGTTTTTCAACCGGATATACGACACTGCAATGTGGAAAAGAAAATATTAAAACCTATATTTATGTTATTTATTATTTATATTATATAATATATTTTTTGAAAGTCAAGCGACACTGAAGGCACTAGCGTACCAGGAAGTAATGCCTAGGCCAATGTGGGACTGTATCAAAGAACTGAATTAACTAAGAGACCAGAATAAGGTTTAGCTTGACTGGGTACCAGGACATCAGGGCATAGAAGGAACGAACAAGCAGATCAAATTGCAAAAACTGGATCAAACGAATCAAACAAACCAGCTGTAACTCTGAGAGTGAAAGGCTGCAGTTTGTAGGACTGTAGAAGACTGAATCAGAGAGAGAGAGTCATGACTGATATAAGAAGACATTCCCAAAAAAAATACATAAAAAATCTTCATTGGTGGACTATGTAGAAAAAGAACAGGAGAACTGCTTCATATGGACAGGAACAAACTGGGAACACTAACAGGAATGTTGAAGAATTTACAATGGAGACCTTAATTGCAGACTCTGTGACAAGAAACTAAAAATTGTAAAACATGTATTAGGTGATTGCGAAGCGCTGGACGGTAAAACACAAAAACTGTATGGGCAACCAAGAGGACACAGGGTATACGACTTCCTCCTCTTTAGCTTTAGCAATAATTAAAATCTTTTGTATCAGACGGGTCCAAAGGAAAAAACAATCTAATATCAAATAAATTTATAGTAAAGGAAGGGGTTAGGCAAGATAATCTTTTATCATTATTACTTTTCAAATTATGCCTAAAAGAAAAATGCAAAAAATGAAAATTATTAAGAAGAAGACTCTTGTGAAATAAGAAATACATGAAAAGTGACGACACAAAAATGTTCATCTTCTTCTTCTTTTAGTACCCTGTCCGATTATCGAACGTTGGCGATCATATTGATAAAAATAACTTTGTTTACAGTAACTTAAAACAGATTAGCGGATGTCTCTTGATAACACTCTCGGAAATTTCGGAGCCAGGATGTTTTTCTTCGGCCTGTGCTTCTTTTATCGACGATTTTGCCCTGTATTATGAGGTGTAAGAGGTTATACCTCTTTGGATGTCTCATTACATGGCCGAAATATTGTCACTTTCGAATTTTTATTATTATTTTTTTCTGAGAGAGTGATAGCACTATCATTTGTAACACGTATTCCATTTGGACAAACAATGGTAAGACTAAATTGGTAAACATTGAAGAGGAGTAAGTCAAGGGTGTATTCTGTCTTCAATTCTTTTTAATGAAGATAATTAATATACAAAGTGTTTAGAAACTCTCCTGACAAACGAAAACCTGAGATTCCTCAGATAATTTTAAGACGATTTAACCCAATTCATCTAGTCTGAAAATGCTTTCTAAAGGAGCTAGAGCTCTTTGAAGATGGCGTCTTGTAAGCAGTTTTTTTCGAATTCCTCCAGAACCCTTTTATTTAGAAAAACGAAAACTAGTACGATTATTTATCATTCAGAGTTAAATCGATTCCATTGATTGCGAATTTCTAGTACAGTTCATAGGTATCCGTTTTGGGTAGGTCAATGGTTATTTCACAGCATAACTTTTTTGTCTTTAACTTTTAAGCATTTGTAATACTAGATTATTAGATTTTTAGATATTCTGGTACTAAAAGGTGCTCCTACTTAAAGTCTGTAGGATACACCATTTTCAAGAAAAATCTATTTGAAATTTTTCGTTGTTCGTCATAAAAAGAGATATATAAAAAAGACAGTTAGTCTCTTTTATATATTCTCAAATACAATATGCGCAAGAATTCAAATCCAGCGACCTTGCTGGCCAAGCAACTGGACCGTCCCTTCCGATCCAGTAGCTTTCGTAGTTATTATCAAGAAATTATCGTACATTCCTACTAAAGTTGGCCGGACAGCCGTCATGAAACCATAAGTTTTGCCGAATATTTAACGGCACATCATTTAACAAAAGAGGTAAAATATTTTGCAGGAAATGTAAATAAGTAGCACCGTTTAAATAATCAGGCAATTCCACGGTCCACGTAGATAATCGTCAACTACTCATATGCAGACGGATATGCTAAACCTATGCTGATGCTTCAATTCTTAAACAAGAACGTGGCTAGGCGAATTGGATTAAATTATCTTAAAATTATCTGAGGAATCTCTCCTCTTCGTTTGTCAGGAGAGTTGCATTCTGATAAACAACGTAAGGAATGCAGATGATAAAGAACATACACATATACTAAGGAATATACTCACAAAAAAGCACCAGAATGGCGTTGAAAATTAATTGGAAAAAGAGAAACGTTAGTTTTCAGTCGAGACTTACAAACCCATCGTAATCTTAATGTTAGTGTCAATGGAATCAATTTGCAAACCGTTCAAAACTATATATAGCTGGGTAGAGAAATAAATTGGCAACTAGATCACTCAAACGAAATCCTGAGAAGAATTGATATCGCCAGAGCAGAAGTTGTAAAAGGGAACATTCATAAAGAGTTTCTTAGAGGATGAGTATTGTAATTTAAAATAAGAAAAGTATACCGTCCAAATATTTATTTACGTATTTATTTTCACGTGAAACTTTCTGTAATAATAATGGAGATTTAATTTTGTGTTTGGTTTTTAACTTTAATTTGGTTGGTTTAACTAAAGTTTTTAACTTAGTTTAAACTTCAACTTTAAGTTAAGAAAGGGAAACATATTTTAGCACATACCACTTTTAATAAAATATTAGCTATAAATATAAAAGCATAGTAACGGTATTGGTATATGGCTTTTCCTTTTTAACTTTGTGAGCGAAAAAAGTCACTTACCTCTTCTCTTTCTCTCTTTTTCTTGTTGTAAGTTTCTTTGTAAAAGTTGGAGAACAAGAAATAGAACATAAATGCGTGCATTCCAATCCACCAGACGAAAGCTTTGGGGTAGTTGCAGTCAATGAACAGTAATTGGAATGCATGAACCATAACTAAGACGAATTGTACCTAAAAAAGAAGATATAATAGTGGTTAATAAAAAAGTAAGTAATATTTAAACTGCAACTTATAATTGAATTATAACAGTTTACAGTTTAATTTACAGGTCGTAATTTTATTTTAGAATTTTTGAAAACGATTTTCGGATTAAAAATCAAAAGGTCAACACCAATGTAAAATGTCATTCTCTTCTTCTTATTCCTCTTCTTTTTTATATTATAGACATGACTTTGTCTGTTTTTTAATGTGCCTCCAGTAAATTGTCGTTCCATCGTTTTCGTGGTCTTTCTACTGATCGTCTTCCTATTGAGGAACTGTCTTTTGCCGTCTTTACTACTCTATTTGTTGTCATTCGGCTTATATGACCGTTACATTCTACTCTTCTATTTCTTACCCAGTTCTTGATGTTCTTCTTGCATCTACGTCGTGTATCTGTACTTTTGTCCCATAGTCTCTTACCATCAGTTTTTCTAAGTGTTTTCATCTCTGCTGTTTCTAACACCCTTTTTGTCCTCTCTGTATCATGTCTTGTTTCTGCTGCGTATGTCATTATTGGTCTGATGACTTTTTTGTAAATTCTGCCTTTCATTTCTGTCCCGTTGTGCCATTCTCATTACAATAAATTATGGTTTAATAATTTTAAAGTGATATACGATTAAATGCTCGAATAAATGAACTTTATCAAATAAAAGGCAGATATCGAGCACAGTTTTTTATTATTAAACGTTGCCCCAGTATGTAAGGTTATAAATGTCACATCTTAATTACATTTCTTAATTAATTTATTAACACTTTTACCTCCAGCTTCGTTTTTACTATTTTTTCTTCAAAAAGTAGTTGAAGCGCTCTGTTTTTCTTCTCTCTAGAATAAATATTCGCCCTCTCTCTTTCTCTCCGGTAGACCAAATATTCTGTTCTATGTTAACAGAAAAGCTAATTTCATCATGGGCCTACATCCTATGACATTTTTGCTAACCTTATTTAGTCTCCCTACTTTCTGTCAATCAACTTTTCTAACGTAGTGAGAATATAATTTTTTGCCTGTTTTCGAAAATTATAAAAGAAGGCGAAAATGATTATAAGCTTCATTTTATGATCTACAATATTCTCTTGGGGTGAGTACTTGTAATCTTTCTTCTATAATTCTGACAGCATTTTCAATATTCGTAACCTTACTTCTTTCGAAAGAACGTTTTCTTGATTATATGCATATACGGATCTGAACAGAATTTAACTAAGTAATAATAATTATATTTAATTTTATCCTTGCCATCTGCTATTTGTTTAATTTTAATTTTGTAAATGGCAAGGAAATTAAAACCTTTTTTGACGTCTCACTAATACAAGCTGTTCCTTATATTTTAGTTTCTTGACGGGTTTATTGGCGATTTTATTGACGATTTTATTGACCATATTGACATATTTATTAACCATATTCACGGTCTATTGGCTGTATTATGAAAATTCATTGCCCATTGGAGGACCTAACCACTTAATTGGGAGGCTACACTCAAATGGTATAACTTCAGCTCTCTGGATAATCTAACATCTAATTGGGAGGCCACACAAGCAGCCCATTGAAGTCATCGATGCCAAATGGTACAACTATACTCAAATGGTATAACTTCAGCTCTCCGGAGAACCTAACATCTAACTGGGAGGCCATACAAGCAGCCCATTCAAGTCATCGATGCCAGAAGTATCATCCTCACTAATTTATTGTTAAGCATTGGCAGGGTTGTTTTAATTTTTTTTTTTTAATATGATTAGTTAAGATTTGTATTATTTGCTATCAGCTAAGGGTAAGACAAGACGAACTCACACTTGAGATACTGAGCTAGGCGAAGCATAGACGATAAGCTCCCATGGTTGATTGAGGTATTATTTTTATAATAGTACTTCAATTTCATTTGGTAGTCTTATCGTTACAAGTACTTTTGCTCTCAGGACACCTTCAGGAGGTATTTCGCCAAAATATTAGGCTATTCAACACTTTTATGAATGTTATATACATTAAATAATACATTTACATAACACTAGACAAAGGAAAAACAGTTTAAAAACTGTTTTCGAAATTTAAGAAGCTATATTGTAAAAAATGCCCCAAGGGCTTGTAGTCTAGTAGAATAAAGAATTTGAAATTGTAGTACGAATTTGTATTTTAAATAATACTTCCTCCTTTAATTGGTTGTGGATTTTTATTTGTTTCTATATACATTTATTTTATATGTATAAGATATCTGATATAAAATATGTGCTCATACAATATTATGGTAATGATAACTTTTATAACTTACCATTTGGATGGCTGTCAAGTACTTCTTCCACCAGAGATACTTCTGATACCTTGGTCCAAGAGCGGCGAGTAGATAATAACTGTACATAATGATGTGGACAAAGGTGTTCAAGAATCCGAAGAAACTGGAATGGCCTCCGGGAGTGAATTTAACACCAAACCAGACAGACATTGGCATAACTCCATGGTGAATAACGTGAAGTGTTGAAACATGGTCGTATTTTTTACGAAGAACGAAGAAGAACTGCAAAAAGATTAAATATTTATGAGTTTCTATATATAAGAATATTATTGGTATTATTAAGAAATAAATACACAATTTTTAAGAACCATATTAAAGAATAAACAAAATAATAAAATTATTATTATAGAAAGAATACATCAGTAAGGATCGTTTTTTTTTGTCAAAACTACTTTTGTTTTGTCAGAGAATATTGAAGTTTTGCACTTACGTTATAATATATCTGGTATACCGTTTTGACTTACTTTTTGCTATATATTTTGTTGCTTCTTTTTCTTTAATTGCGTTCCGGTATATAGAGCTAGCCGTTGATATTCAAGTGTGATATAGAACGTGTAAAACTAATACCATGACATTTACTTTGCGTACTGCTGTTCAAAATAATTATCCTGAGAATTAAAAATCTTGGGATTGGAAGGTTGGAAATCATCATGGCTATGCGGACTCTGTTAACTGCCGCTCTAAAAAGTTCTGCACTCCTGCATTCAAACCATTCCCTTAAGTTTTTAAGCCAGGATACTCTTCGTCTTACCACATGTCGCTTTCCTCGGATTCTGCCCTGCATAATAAGTTGTAATAATGCGTATTTTTGCCCTCTCACATGTCCCAAGTACTCATGTTTTCGTCTTTTAATAGTTAATATTATTTCCGCCCTTTTTCCTATCCTTCTAGTTACTTCCATGTTTGACATTCTTTGAATCCATGATATTCGTAGGATTCTTCTGTAACACCAAAATTCAAAGGCGGCCAACTAATTCAGATGAACTTCTTTTAGTGTCCAAGCTTCCAAACCATAAAGAAAAGTAGAAAACACGTAACATCGAAGCATTCTCAGGCGTAGTTCTAACCTTATATCCCGACAACAGAGAAACTTTTTAAGTTTAATAAATGATGTACGTGCTATTTCAATACGTGTCTTAATTTCTTTGGTTTGGTCTACATCTGATGTTATCCATGTTCCTAAGTATTTATAGTTATTAACACTCTCGATTGCAGTATCTTCAATAGTCAATTGGATATTTGCATGTGCAGATTTAATCATGATCATGCATTTAGTTTTCTTTAAATTTATCTTCAGTCCGTACTCATGACAGCGTTCATTAAGGCGTTGCATTACGTTCTGTAAATCATTGTTGTTATCCGTAATTATTACTGTATCGTCTGCAAAACGTAAGTTATTCAAAACTTCTCCATTGGTAGATATACCTTCTATTGAGTCTGAGAGCGCTTCTTGAAATACCGCTTCATTGTAGACATTGAAAAGTAGTGGGGACAGCACGCAACCCTGGCGGACTCCTCTCTGTATTTTGATATTTTCGGTATACTGGCTATCAACTCTTACCTTGGCAGTTTGATTCCAGTATAAATTATATATAATTTTCAGATCACGATGTCTTCATCGACTGCCAAGCCGCAATCCTCGCCCTGTCGACAAATCGATACACCGACTGTGCCAAAACAATATCTTGCCGCGTTCAACTATCGAACTTGATGGAAAAATGGTGGCTGATTACTCTACAATGGATCCCTAGTCATGTCGGTGTTGAAGGAAATGAAGCGGCGGATGAACTTGCAAAAGAAGGCACTACTCTTCCACAGCCCCCTAGCTTCCAATCGTACACATCAGCAAAGTCCACCATTAGAAGAGGAAGAGGAATCAAAGCCAAGATAAAAAAGCAGCAAATACAAGCCGGTGCTGGAAAATCTTGGGCCCACCTAATAGAGTCACCAATCCCTCGCAACTTGCCGAGACCCATTAGTGTAGCCGTGTTCAGAACAATTACGGGGCATGACTACCTGGCCTCCCATCTACATCGCAGCGGCGTCCGCGAAAATGACAACTGTCCTCTATGTGATCAGCCCCAGATGTATGCTGCTCACCTTCCAGAGTGCCCAGCCCTGAAAACAGACCCACCCGAGGAGGATGAAGTTCGCTTACGAGAAACGGCTCGTATATACTGGTCAGCGCGCCACCAAATGGCTAACATGCCAAAGGTGGGCGTTGGCTAGTAAGTAAGTAAGTAAGTAAGTAAGCTATTCAAAATAATAATTTGGTATTAGTTCCATAACATAAGCGTTAATTATTTACCCACGATGTTTTTGTTAAATTTGCCTCTAAAATTTCTTTCGATTATTACTTGCAATAGCTCAATATTTTAGTTTCTTATAACTTCAAATATTCAATTTCTTTGGGTCGCTTTAATGACAGTTCATAATGTCAGTTTATTATATTGATTACATTTTCTTTTAGAAGACAATAAAAAGGCCAAATGAAAAAATCCTTAAAAGTTCTTTGAAAGGACGTTATTGCTACAAATTCCCTATAAATTGCTTTTTCTGACTAATATCAAGACATTCCATTCCAAAGTCCCGAGTGGCACAGTCACCACGGTCTACGAAAAATTAGTTAAAAAACTTATACAGAAGTAAAACACTTCAAATTTGTGTCTAGGTATAAAACATTTAATTTAAAACTTTTTTAAAAGTGTCGTCCAAAATTTACAGGTGCATAACGTGAGGTTTTCGATCTAGTTCAGTGCCTTTTTTAGTAATTGAAGTCTTCTTTGTTTCTACAAAGCAACATGTTACTCTTTAAGTATTAAAATCTTTATCCAATGTCATCGACCTAGGGTCTAATTAGAATTTAAATTTTTTAAACATGTAAAACCATATATTGATGTCACCGCTATTATTTTAGTGTTAGCTTCAATTACAAAAGAAGGCACTGAGGATGATCTGAACTAGATCGAACGTCACGATAAGCACCTGTAAATTTTGGACGACACTTTTAAAAAAGTTTTAAAGGTTTTATAACTAGATACTAATTGCAAGTGTTTTACTTTTGTATAAGTTTTTTAACTATAGTATACAGAAAACTACTGGGATTTTCCCATTAATTGTTAGAAAAAGTATTTCGCTTTCATCACGCATTATTATACACGCAATAAGCCATAGCAAGAAGATATGTTGTAAAATGAAGTAACTATTTTATTTTAAATTTGTTTAAAAAAGTATTTTTGTGACTGTGACCAAATAAAACAAAGATGCATGCATCGAGAAATATTGGTTAATCGGAGTCTTTCGTAATAAACGACTTTAAAATATTTGTGCTCGTTTATATTAAGGACAAGAGACATCCACAATACTAATGTTAACCATAACTATGATAACATTAATCGGAAGTAAATATTATTTGACCAGAATAATCTTCGAAAACATCAGAAGTCATTTAACGAACATAGCAAATCTTCAGTAATCGTCTGAAGAGCATTCGTAACCTATTCATCATGCCAAAATTTTCTTACATGTCTTCCATTAATCAATGTTTTATCCAGATAAAACATAGTACCTACCCTTCCCATTCCCATTAAAATTAAATTCACGCCATCTCTACATATGCAGAAGCGCATATAATATTGTAATCTTGGACTAAAAATTGCGACCGTAATGTTCTACTTTCGTAAACTAAAAAGTGCACCACCTCTAAAATGTTCTTTGTCACTTATTAAACAGTCAAATCATCTTCTTATCGTCTGGGATATCACCTGTCACTTCGCGTTTATTGGCGAGAAACCCTAAAGTGGGCGACGCCTGGTGGTAGATTTCAAAAGCATCCACTTCGGGAAAACATTGAAATTGCCATTATTTTGTATACATATTAGCGACCGGTTTAGATTGTAATTAACAATGACTTCGACCACAAAAAACTATTGCAGTGTTCCTCAATGTTCATCCTATTAAAATTCACAAAAAAATTCCATACTTAAGTTTCCGCTGGACGAGAATATGAGAAAAGTTTGGCAATGCATTTTGTGAATTGGCAAACATATAACCAAGTACGTGACTGTGTGCAGTTTACATTTTACTGAGAATGATTACTTTTCAAGCGTTGATTAAAATATTATTTGTATTTTAATATATTTATACTTAATTTACTTTATAGTAACACCTGAAACTAAATTAAGAAGACTGAAGAAATATGCTGTTTCATTAGCTACATTGCCCCAACGGTCTCATGAAGTTATTAGTAGAAAACATAAGGCGTAATTTACAAAATATAACGTGGCCAGCTCCATAAACTGCCTCACCCCCAACTAAAGATTTCTGCCGATCTTGCAACCATATAAATAATTCTTCTTTTTCTTTGAGTGCCTCTCCTATCGGAGATTGGATATCATTATGGCGATTCTAATTTTATTAACTGCTGTTTTGAATAATTCGTTAGTGGTACAGCCAAACTACTCTCTTAAATTTCTCATCCAGGACATTCTTCGATATAAATATAAATAATTAAGATATTGTAAATTTTATTTCCCGTGTTTCAGACATACTGTAGAAAAACAAACATTTAATTTTATTTTTATTCAGGTTTGGGAGTCAATTACCTTATGTATAAACTTGAATCACAGACAAATAAACTTTGAACAACGTACTCCAACTTTTACTTTGGCAAAACACACGTGTAAATGATTTATATTAAAAGTTTTATGCCTTAAAAATCAAATGACAAAATTATTTGTTTTCCCGAAGTTATCGTCCATCTTTAAAATCTTCAGCGCCCCCTGTCGGAATTGGCTATCGCGAATATAGCAGGTTTATTAATTAATTTTTAATTTGTTTGTTTATTTGTCTTAGGATAAAAGGTTTATTTATTTATTTATTTATTTATTTATTTATTTATTGATTTGTTTATTTGTCTTCGTTTGTTTCTGTTATAAAACATTTAATATATTATTTTTTCTACTTTGTCAATGTCTTTATCAATAATGTTAGCAACTGCGCACGATTTTCTTACTGCGATGACCTTGCAACGCTGACATCTTTCCTCGGAGCAAATGGTGGACTTGGCTTCAGCTAATCTGTACCTTTTAGGTATGAGTTGTTCATCTGTTGGTTCAAACTTTCTGTTGTTACGTGTCGTTGTCTTAATTCGAGTCTGTCTCTCACTTCTTCCTTTTTTTTTTGCTTGTCAATTCTTCTTCTTTCTTTCATCTGGCACTTCT